TACACTGGGGGAAAGAATCCCTATTCAATAAATGGTGTTGGGAGGACCGGATAACCACAGGTAAAAGAGTGAAACTGGACCCGCACCTCTCACCACTCACAAAAATTGATTCAAGATGGATAAAAGATTTAAATCTAAGGCATGAAACAATAAAAATCCTCAAAGAAAGGGTGGATAAAACACTGGAAGATATCAGCCTGCGAAAAATTTAATGAAGACCTCCGTGACAATTGCAACAACAAAAATAAACAAATGGGACTTGATTACTGAAAAACTTCTGTACAGCTAAGAAAAACCACCACAGCAAGCAGACAGCCTTCAGAATGGGAAAAGATATTTGCATGTTATGAATCAGACAAAAGCTTGGTGACTAGGATCTATAGAGAACTTAAACTAATCAACAAAAAAGTTCTAACAATCCCATATATCACTGGGCAAGAGCCATGAAGAGAACCTTCTCTAAAGACAGATGAATGGCTAACGTGAAAAAATGCTCATCTTCCCTAATCCTCAGATAAATGCAAATCCAAACCACCCCGAGATATTACCTATCCCCAGTGAAAATGGCCCACATCACAAGTCTCAAAGCTGTAGGTGCTGGTGTGGATGTGGAGAGAAGGGAACACTTTTACACTGCTGGTAGGACGGCAAACTAATACCACCTTTTTGGAAGGAAATAAGGAGAATCCTTGAAGAACTCAAATTAGACCTCTCATTTGATCCTGCAATTCCATTGCTTCTATCCAGAAGAAAACAAATCCTTTTATCATATTTGCACTAGACCGTTTGTCACAGCTCAATTTACAATTGCCAAAATATAGAAACAACCCAAATGCCTACCAACGCAGGAATGGATTAACAGGCTGTGGTATATGTATACCGTGGAATACTATTCAGCCACTAAAAAAGATGGAGATTTTATATCTTCTGTATTCACCTGGATGGAGGTGGAATGGAGAAGCAACAATCCAATATACTCCATTCTAATATGAAGGCAGCAGATGAGCTAATACAAGGGGTGGGGTAGGGGAATGAGGGAGCAGAGAGGGGGAAGACAGAAGGGAGATGAGGGTCACAGTGTACGGCACACCTCTCTTGGGGCGTGGGACACAATTATAAGAGGGACTTTACCTAACAAATGCAATCAGTGTGACCTAATTCTTTGTACCCTCAATGAACCCCAAACAATTTTAAAAAATGGGCAAAAGACTAGAATAGACATTTCTCCAAGGAACATATACAAATAATCAACATATTAAAAGATGCTGCCCATCACTAATCATTAGAGAAATGCAAATTACAGCCACAATGAAGATATAACCTCACATTCATTAGGACAGCTACTATAACAAATAACAAATGTTAGCAAAGATATGGAGAAATTTGAATTCCTGTGTATCCTCGGTGGGAATATAAAATTGGGCGGCCCTGTGGAAACTACACATAAGCATGGCACTTAAAACAGAATTACATGATCCAGCAATTCCACTTCTAGGTGGGTATCCAACAGACTTGAGGAAAAGGTCTTGAACAAGTATCTGTACTTCCATGATCACAGCAGTATTATTCACAACAGCCAAAAGCAGAGGCAATCCAAGTGTCCACTGATGGATGGATGGATGGACAAGATGTGGTATATACACACAATGGAGTATTACTCAACCTTAAAATGAAAGGAAATTCTGACACATACTACAACACGGATGAACTTCCAGGACATTATATAAAAGTATAAAGCCAGTCACGAAAGGACAAATACTGTGTAACTCCACTTATATAAAGTACCTGGTCAAAATCATCAAGACAGAAAGCAAAATAATGGCTGCCAAGAGCTGGTGGGCAGGGAGAATGGGTACAGAATTGAAGTTTCCCAAGATGAAGAGATTTCTGGAGATGGTGATGATTGTCGCACAACAATGTAAAATGTACTTAATGCCAGTCAATATCATGCTTAGAAATGGTGGAGATGGTACATTTTGTTACACGTGTATCATTTACCATTACTATTTTAAGAAAAACTGAGAAAAAAAAAATTGTGCATCATCCTAAGCGGCCAAAGTTAACATGACCAGTCCTAGGACAAACTCCAGTCCATGTTTCCAGAGAAATCTGCTTAAGTACTTGGGGCTCAAGAGGCAAGCTGTGCGCAAGTTAGTTTTACGGAGGGCTGCAAAAATAACTGTATGTACATACAAGATGATAAAATAAGGCAAAATATTAACACTTGCAATTATTAGAGAAGGGTGTATGGGAGTTTATTTTACTCTTCTTGTAACCATTGTAAATTGGAAATATTTTCAAAATTGAAAATTTATTCTAGCTAGCCACGTTTGAGATACTTAGAATAAACCATACACCAAAGATAATTTAAATAGAAACTAGTAATTTTTCCTTCTAACCACAGTATAAGAGAATCAATCTGAGCATTGTGAATTCCCCAGGTATGGGTATCACTTTCTTACCTGGCAACATCAGGAGGTTCATGTGGCTATGCTTTTTCATTCCCTTCTTTTGAGGAAATTTACATGAAACATTGCAGAATAGTTTAGGTTTAGGTTTTTGTCTCCATTTAGTGGTTAGCTATTAGCCTCTAATGCCTTTATGTAACTGCATTTTACAAACTACTGTATCCTACTTGTGCTTCTGAGTTTGTTGAAAGTAAGTGTAAATAATTTGAGAGGTTTTTTTTTTTTTGAGACAGAGTCTCACTTTTGTCTTCCTGGGTAGAGTGCCATGGTGTCATAGCTCACAGCAACCTCAAACTCCTGGGCTCACACGATCCTCTTGCCTCAGCCTCCCGAGTACCTGGGACTGTAGGTGCCCACAATGCCCATCTATTTTTTATTTTTTTTGAGATGGAGCCTCAAGCTATTCACCTGGGTAGAGTGCCATGGCATCACGCTCACAGCAACCTCCAACTCCTGGGCTCAAGAGAGTCTCCGGCCTCAGCCTCCCAAGTAGCTGGGACTACAGGCACCCGCCACAATGCCTGGCCATTTTTTGGTTGCAGTCATCATTGTTGTTTGGTGGGCCCAGGCTGGGGATTCAAACCCACCACCTTAGGTGTATGTGGCTGGCGCCTTAGCCGCTTGAGCCACAGGCACTGAGCCCTGTCTATTTTTTAGAAACAGATCTCACTCTTGCTCAGGCTGGTCTCAAACTTGTGAGCTCAAGCAATCCACATGCCTTGGCCTCCCTGTGTGCTGGGATTACAGGCATGAGCCACTGCATCCAGCCAACTACAGAGATCTTATGATAGTTTTAGTGCATAGGCTGGGTGCCCATAGCTCAGTGGTTAGGGCACCAGCCACACACTCTGGGCCTGGTGGGTTCGAACACGGCCCAGGCCTGCTAAACAAACAAAAAAAATAGCCGGGCCTTGTGGTGGGAGCTGTAGTCCCAGCTACTAAGGAGGCTAAGGCAAGAGAATTGCTTGAGCCCAAGAGTTTGAGGTTGCTATAAGCTATGCCACAGTACTCTACCGAGGATGACAAAGTGAAACTCTATCTCAATTAAAAAAAAAAGTCATATGTTTTAGCACATAAATTTCATGTTATTTCATCTGTTCAAAGGCCTTTGTGGCCAATAATACAAGGTATTCTGATGTGTTTTGGAAAATCAAGGTGCTGATTTGTGTCAGAGAATTACTATAATTAAAATAATTTAGTGATAGTATTTTCTTGGGTTTAGTCATTCTGACCATCAGCGATCTCTCATAAGGTCTGTAGAAATTACTAAAATAATAAAGAGTAGGGCAGTGCCTGTGGCTCAAAGGAGTAGGGCACCAACCTCATAGAGTGGAGGTGGTGGCTTCAAACCCAGCCCTGGCCAAAAACTGCGAAAAACATTAAAAAAAAGTAAAGAGTAACACAAATTTAGAGCAACAAGAAATAGTCACAAATTTCCTCTACCCTGATTGCCCAACTGCTATAAGCAGTAATTCCCTAATAAAAGGAACACAATTTTGTTGTTATTCCATTCAACCCCAACTAGGGCACAATAATTTAATTCTAATACCAAACACCCAGAATCAGCTTCAAATTATACAGGGTTCGCTTGGCGCCTGTGGCTCAAGCTGCTAAGGCACCAGCCACACACACCTAAGGTGGTGGGTTCGAATCCATCCTGGGCCGCCAAACAACGATAGCTGCAAACAAAAAAATAGCTGGGCGTTGCGGCGGGCGCCTGTGGTCCCAGCTACTTGGGAGGCAGGAGACTCTCTTGAGCCCAGGAGTTGGAGGTTGCTGTGAGCTGTGATGCCATAGTACTCTACCCAGGGAGACAGCTTGAGGCTCTGCCTCAAAAAAAAAAAAAAAAAATATTATACAGGGTTAAGGACTCAGTCCTCCATGAGACTGTTCCCACTGCAGGGCCAGCCAAAAGTGAGGTCCCTAGACCACTGCCACTTCCCACTAGCTACAAATCTCCAATTCTCAAAACTCTTCACTTCCAATCACTTGCTGAAATGACTCACAGAACACAGGAAAGCACTATACTTTCCTAGAAAGCACAATACTAATGGTTAGTTTTATTGTAAGGAGATACTTGGAGGGAGGCCTGCAAAGAAATGCAGAGCCTCAGGCAGTTGGGCCTCCTCATCCTCCTACGTGCTTGCTGACCAGGAAGTTTCATTTATCTACGGTGTCCAGAGCTCTTAAATGGAGCTCCATTATGCAGGGAGAGTTGATTAACTCAAATAGACCATGTGACTGGGCCCCAATCCCCCAAGTCCTGCTGGCCCAAAGTTCCAACCCCCTAATTATATGGCAGGTCTTTCTGGTAACCAACCTCCATCCTTAAGATATCTAGGGTCCCACCAAGACATTTCCATTACTCAGGAAACCCGAGCACTATAGACATTACTTGCCAGGACAAATGACAATTTCTCATTATTCCAGTCAGGTAGAATTGAACCTTGAGGGTCACAAAACTATAGCATCTTAAGATTTTTGCTTCCCACTAAGAATGCATTCTCTAAGACAATGAAGAGACAGCCCCCCAAAACCAGAATGAAATTTTATTGTGTAAAGTTTATAGAAGACTAATATCCCTCTGTACAAAGTACACAAACGGTTTTAAATACAACTGAGAGAACTGTGGGTCCTATGACAACATTTAATACAAGCTGAACCATTCATTTACAGACACACTAAAAAATTTTTAAAATATCTTCTTTCTCCAAAGAGTCCGTTGCACATTTCTTAACAGTGGAGGCGGGGACACATCATCCCAGGCATGGTCACAATGGCATTTTATTGCCCTCGATGCTGATTTTCACTGCGTGAGCAGATCTGCTTTTTTTCCTGATATCTGTGAACTTTCTCATCTGTTTATCCAGTCGACTGATACCTTTCTTGGAGGTCGCTTGAAACTAAGGGGGCAGGGGGAAAATTAAAGAGCAAATTACTGAAACACATAAATCTAGTTTTATCTTTCATCTTCTTATATCTGAAAATTAGCAGTCAGAAGAGTGAACCAGAAGATGCTTTGATGATCTTAACAACAGAGCAAGTGTTGCACACAGCAGTGTTAGAAATACATATGAAACTCTCAAGGGAGAATATTTTTATTGCTGTCTTTGCCTTAACGTTTAATTTTGCCATAGTACGTGGCAATCTCCTAGATGAGTGGGCGGCGCCTGTGGCTCAAAGGAGTAGGGCACTGTCCCCATATACCGGAGGTAGAGGTGGTGTGTTCAAACCTGGCCCCGGCCCAAAAAACAAATCTCCTAGGTGAGAGAAAGGGGAAAAAACTGAGACCATGTTCCTCCCAATTCCATCATTTACACTGTATAGTGATTACATGCTTTTTCCTTTTAAAGATCAAATGTGAGAATGATCACTGACACTTTCAAACAGTACTGGTGTAAAAAAACAAGAATCTTCTAAAGCAAAGGAAAGTCATCTGAGAAAAAGCCTTAAGCACAATGAATTAGGTTAGAGGAATTAACAAAATAAAGCCAGAAGTGCTGGAGCTCTAAAGATTCAGAATCCCTGCTCTGCCTCAGCCAGTTTTGAATCTCTGGACAAAGCACTCTCCTGGCTGGTACGCCTTCCAGCAATGCTGAGGGAAGTAAATGAGATAATAATATCGGATTCAAGCGCAGACGCACCTGTGCTCTCAGAATAAATTGAAGCTATTGCTACAACTATTACTACCTCACAATCAACTAGATTTACATTAACTAAGTATACTTGACAAAAAAAAAAAAAGCAAGGCTCAGCGACATACGACAGTGGTTACGGTACCAGCCACATACACCAAGGCTGGCAGGTTCGAACCCAGTCTGGGCCAGCTAAGCAACAATGACAACTGCAATAGAAAAAAATAGCCAGGCCTTGTGGCAGGCGCCTATAGTCCCAGCTACTTGGGAGGCTGAGGCAAGAGAATCGCTTAAGCCCAAGAGTTTGAGGTTGCTGTAAGCTGTGACACCACGGCACCACAGCACCATAGCACTCTACCTAGGGGGACTCTGCCTCAAAAAAAAAAAAAAAAAGAAAGAAAGAAAGAAAATTAAGTCTTTTTCCACTTGCCCTTTATCTTTAAAGGTTTGGTTTGGGTTTTTTCTCTTTTATATTTTGAAAAGACTGTATGTGTTACTAAGATATGGTCTCTAATGAACCTTTCAGAAATTCTGGGAAGGTCTGCCATTGATGTCAAAGATCAGGAAGAACTCTTGTTAATTGTGTTAACAATTCAGATGTTTAAGAATGATCTCCCTAGATGTTTACTGCTGAATTGCCTCTACAGCTCAACTCAAAAGAATGCTAAAATAACAGAGCCCGGGAGACCCTGGGGTCAGTGCAAGTGTGGTGAACTTCTTTCTAGTCTAGGAGCCTTCCAAGTCTAATCCCACCTCTGGATTCGGCGTCTCCTCAGATATGAAGTCACCTGAACACTATGCAAGGAACCCTGAGTCATTCTTTAACAAGAGCCACCATGTTGGGCATCTATCCTGGATTTTTCATTTCTGACCATGTGCAATAAACTCTAGGTTAGCATAAAAATTCATTATCAGACAAGAAAGAGCTATGCCACCAGCCATCACACTGTCCCTCAGATTTCCTGGACAGACCCAAATACCTGACTTCCTTTCAGACTGATGTACTGATTTAGTACTTGCAGTCAGCCCACACTGGAAGCCTTACCTACTCGGATCTCTGCCAACTCCCCAACTCCACACACCTACTTCACCTTCTCTCTGCCTACTCCCAGGACCTTCACTAACAAGTCTGAGCCCTAACGAATCTGTCCAGTCTCAGCTGAGCAGGGACACACCCAGGTCAATGTCAACATATTCCTAGCTAACACCACATGACTTGCAGCTGGTAGATGCTCGGTTATCCCAGCCTGATACCACACAGACCACAGTACCTAACATGCCAAATCACTGACCTCCTTCCTAACTCATCAACTCCATACCACACTTCCTTAGGACATTAAAAGTATATGCTGCACATTTTTTACCAGAGAAAAACCCAAAGCAGCTTAAAAGATGAGCAAGATGGGTTTGCTTAAAACAGAATTAAGATAGTATAACTGTTTGATGACACAATATTAAAATCACTGAAGAATGTTTACTCAAACAGATTTTTACCAAGTAAAAAACAAATAAACCCAACAAAGTATAAAAGAAAAAAGTCCAATGCTGCTTGAAATTTTTAAAGAATATAGTAATGTTTACCCATGCATATAAAAAGGATTAAAATGAAATAATCTAAAATGTTAATACTCAGTTATGGCAGCATTATAGGTGAGAATAATTTTATTTATGCATTCTATATTTTTAAAAGTTTACATAAAAATATGCATTGCTTTTGTCATTTTATTTATTTATTTATTTATTTTTTGAGACAGAGCCTCAAGCTGTTGCCCTGGGTAGAGTGCTGTAGCATCACAGCTCACAGCAACCTCTAACTC